CCATTGTGTTGTAGAACCTGTCTAGAGAGGCCACCATGTAGCCTACAGTTGCCGCTTTCTCAGTTTCAATTGGATTGGCTCAATAGGTTAAAGGTATAGACCAGTTTTGGAAACGCCCCCTCTCAAAAAATGAAATGGAAGCTCTTATTACCAATCATGTGAAAAAAAGATGTTTGCCTAATACGTGGTGATACACATTTTGCCGGAAACCGCCTACTAATTGATATACATGTATTTGGTAAATTATTATATCTATCTGGACTGGATAGCCGGACTGGATAGATATCGCGTAGTCACATCTTTCTGTGTACAGTGCTTATAACTTTACCAAGACTAGGCTAAATTTCTTATGATTTGTTTTGATTCCAAAACCTTGCAGTACACACCAATACTTATAATGCTAGATGATTAACCTTTTCTAATCGAGTCCACAACGTTTCTTTTACAATGCAATCGCATGTCCAGAACTGCATGGTCTATACCTTTAACCTGTAATAGATTGGCATAATTTCGAAAATGGTCCATTAATGGCAGAGACTTACTTGCTATGCTACCGACGGAGAGTAAAAGTCCAAGTGCGATTCCAAAGTCAGTGGAATCCATCTGGAGATCTCTGGAAACATCTTGGAATAGTACACCCATGGACTTGACAAGACCAACCTTAGCCATGCAATCCATGAACAGTACCAGAAACACCGGGAAACAAGGGGAACTCAGGAACTTGCTGGGACTCTTCATTGCACTGGTTATGCGGTTGGCTTCCGTTGATATTCAAGTAGACCTACTTCACAGCACTAGGACCAGGACTGTATAGATGCCTTGATGTATCTAAATAGGTCTTCTTCTTTTTAAACCATCAAATGACCAGTTTTGAGTTCGCGCATGTCCCTTAATGACCCCTAAAGGTCAACAGATATTTCAAACGTCGAGTTCAAGGGTCAACTCTATATCTTCGAGTGACATCACTCCCGATATGCACTCTAGTTAAAATTCCATGAGGAGTATCTTGGAGAATCACTTGCCAAGTATACCACGAACTAGTACTAGGTAGTCCACGAATAGAATTGATTTCCTCCAAAGGGTAATTCTATCTATGTATCATGGAATACAACGCTGGTGCATTTATGAAGAACCGTATCTCCTTAGATGCCAGAGTTTTGATGAGTATGCCTCGGGGCCTTTCACAGTGTTTCTACAAAAAGCTGTCGAGACGAACACTTACTCAATGAAAATCACTAAATCCCGTTCTGTAGGGTTTCATTTCGTGCAGCCGTCCATGGCTAAGCTAATTACTTACAACCGTTGCATAATACTAACCCCGTGTCCACACACAATATTTTCTGTGATTAGGCGTGATAATTATACCGTTTCAGGATAGTTATACTGTTTCGCGATAGTTATACGACGAATGCTTACTAACTATACGTCGTATAACGAAACGATGCCCAATTAAACCTGCGTTTCGTTATACGACGTATAAATAATCACGCCTAATCACGGAATGTGTTGTGTGTGGACGTAACTAGTATAGCTGGTCGAACTAGAACGGTATAACTGGGCGGGGCTTAACGTGACCTCGAGCGAAAGGAGACCTGACCTCTTATTTCCGCTACCATTTCATGATCGCAGTAGCAAACTGCGATATTTCGCTGTAGAGTTTCAGGATTACTTTCTTCTGAGTGTGGACATCCTTGAATTTATACGATGATTCTTTATACGACGTTTCTTGTGTGTGGACACCCTGGAATTTATACGATGATTCTTTATTTGATGTTTCGTTATAGAGTTTCGGGATAAATTGTTTTGTGTGTGGACACGCTATCAGTCATAACCAAAAAGTCGGACAATTATGATGGGTTCTAAGACGTAGGCTATGTGTATGTTCCGGCGACATACGCTCAGCAGTTAATTATTCCTCCATTAACTAAAGTCCTAACTTCAACCTTTGTCTCTGATTGAACACTATACTCAACCTTAAAGGCATATCGTGTATGATTGCGTCACACTGTCCCGAAGTTGATATAAGACGGACACACGATGAAGGAAATTTGAACTTCGCACGAAGATGGCCCCGAACTTGGTCAAAAGCCAACCAACAGCCGAAACAAGTACGATGCCTACAGAAGGTCACATAATGGCACCCAAACCACACACGAAGGCAACATGAAGATGTGAATTTATAATAAGAAGTACGTAGCCGCAGGTCACGAAGGCCACGCGATGGATACACGAAGTCGTATAGAGAGTACGATGCGTTCCAACTAGGTCACGAAGGCGTCACGTGACCTCCCGATGATATAAAACCTTCGACCGACGGTGGAAAATTCAATTGCTGATCGGAGATTAATGATGCTCAGAGCAGGGGCGTCGCAGCGACTTCCAAAGTGGGGGATGGGACCAACAAAAAAGGGCATTTTCTTGGGAAAAAAGGGCACCTATATACATAGGGAAATCTCAAAGCGAAAATATGCAATTTGTTAGACATTGGTATATACCCCCTACATTGTGCTTACATTAAATGGGATGCTTTCAATATGTATTTCTCTTGATACATCAAACAAGATATTGTGTAAGCATCATACTTTGCAGTTGGGTGTGATGGTCTGAATATTCATATGCAAGCGAGGGAAAATTTTAAGATTTGTGAGGTCGCAGTGCTTATAAATAAAAACAAAACCAAATCCTGGTGGGGTTATACTCACATTCTCATAACGGAAGACTGAAAAGGCCTTTGATAATTAAGTAACATAATTATATAATCTATGAATGCGAGTGAGTGAAGCGAGCGAGCCTTGGGGGAAATTGCTCTTAGTCACTTTAAATTAGGGGCATGTTTAAAAAGAAAAGAAAAGGGGACACGTATCGAAAAGGACAAGACACCTATTTCTTATACCTGAAAAAAAATCAAATCACTAGGATTAAAAAAGGCACTTATGAGAATGGTAAATGGGCATTAGTCAACGGAGTTGGGGCACCCATAATATAATGTAAGAGGCATTCATAAGAGTCGGAAATGGGCATTTATAAAAAGGGGATAGGTCCCTTATTAGAAAGGAAAAGAGGCACTGACCAGATATGAAGAGGAGTACTTATAAGAATGGTGGCGACTCCTCTCTCTTCACAGAACAGAATTCATAATTATCCAAGCCACTCTACTTCAAACTTCGCTCATCTTCAGCTACCTGCCCCATCCTGTTTGGCCAGCCGAAGATACACAAACCTACCATTCCACTTCGCCCCATCATTTCAACCCGAGGATTGCCCTGCTATGACACAGTCAAACACCTGACCTCGATTCACCAACTACTCGTAGGACAATCACAACACCACATCAATAAATCCAAGCATTTCATTGGCATTCCTTCCAAGACCACCATACACGATACAGACATGATGGTCAGTTTCGATATTGAATCTCTCTTCACCAATGTTCCTGTCACCGAATCTTGCCGAATCGTCTCGAAAGTGCATGACGACACCCTCCCCGACAGAACTCCCCTGACACCAGATGAAATACATGACCTCATGTACTTCTGCCTCAACTCTACTTCATTCAAATGGCGAGACAATTACTACCAGCAACTTCAAGGCGCAGCCATGGGATCGCCTCTTTCACCGGTTATAGCCAACATCTTCATGGAGCACTTCGAAACAACGGCACTCCAGACTCTCTCACAACGCCCTTCTCTCTGGCTCCGATATGTCGACGACACATTCGTCATCTGGCCACATAACAGACGTGACTTAGGCCACTTCCTCGCCCACATCAACCAGCATCACCCGAGCATCAAGTTCACCATGGAGACCGAGCAAAACAACAGCACCCCTTCCTACACGTCCTCGTTACCAAATCGCCATCCGGCAAGCCCGCTCACCAAGTCTACAGGAAACCCACACACACCGATAGATATCTTCGCTACAGATCCTTCCACCGTCCATACGTACTACAATCAGTCCACAACGCCCTCATCCGCCGAGCCCATCAACTCAGCGATGTCGACCATCTAGACCAGGAAATCCAGCATACTAAAATGTACGACATTTTCATGAACATGTTTATAGAAAGTAATTACAAATGTTATACTAACCATTCACGATGTGTTTCAGCTCTTCTTCAGTGTCGTCATTAAATTTTGTTGGGACAAACATGACAAATAAAGAAGACATCAATGTATTGATGTTTATATGGATTTGAAGGTAACATTGCAACATATGAGTATATTTAGACTAACTTGTGAACTTTAACACTATTGTTATTGTTCTTATGATATTATATTCTCGAATTGGCAATTTATTTACTGGATTGTGACGTATGAGGATATCTCTCCCATTTTTCATGTACAAAAATGTCATAAAATCTGATTTTCGCATAAGTATCTTCTCTCTTGGGCACTACTCAAGACATTTTATGGATAGCGTATTATTACCATAGTTTCTCTGAAAAAGAGGGACCCTCAGGAATAATATGAATAAAATAATTTAGTTCCTTTGTGTACTATTGAAAGGTTTAGTGATCATAATTCCATTCAAAAATATATATCTTAATTCTTTTTTATCTGATTTCATTGAAAATCCCACCGTATGTTCTGCTTCTCTGATTTATTTAAGAGGTTTGTCATTTAATAATGATTTTTTAATGTGTTTCCACAATGTTTGCGGCTAGCTCATCAGCTATCAAGCCATTTATGTCAACTTATTGTGATGTGTTGTTATTAATAAATTCAAAAATTCAAAAATTCAAACCGGCTCTCAATTAACATTTAAAAAAGGGGATCATGGGGGACAAACAGGCACCGACTAGGCATTGTTTGTTATATAGAGGGCGCAAGTAGCTATAAGTAGTGCAGTGGGGATTTAATTGAAATTGTCTGTGCATTATTTGCATCTTGCCAAGGACAAAGTGCACTTTCCCTGTATTTGTGTCGAATGAAATATAAACAGCTTTTAACTATTGATAATTGTTGCACTTTAATGAAGATACAATGCACATGTACAAATTCAGTTCATTTAGATTGGCAGTATTTATTTCATCAATTTATGGATTCAATATACATCTTAGAATTAAAATGACAAAAACAATAACTGAGGTTTAAAGAGAAACGATTACAATAAATGATCTCCATCCGAAACTTTTATGAAGATAATAATAATAATAGTGGGTACTTGTAAAGTGCTCATGACTGTTAAATTTGACACTCCTGACAATGACGATCTGCTGATACCCAATCGAAAGCAAGAATTTCAGTAGCTAATAACAAAAACTATTATTTGTCACTGATGACAAGTTTTGTGAAATAGAGACCTGGTGCTCCACAAGTATTACCTCCACTTGAGCATGGCCGGCATTATGGCGCTCTAGCAGTTCAAGGAATTAATTCACGCCAAGTACCCATTTACCTCACTAGACTTGAGAGTTGCAAATGTAGATCTATCCATGTCTTGCCAAAGGACATTAGTTTTACTGCAGGACTCGATCCCGAAACAATCTGTACATTAGTCTCGCGAAGTATCCACTATAGACCCAAACCCTCTACAATATACTGCATTAACCCTCTTTAGAATGATAAATCCTCAGGCATCAGAAGAAAAATTCAGTTATTACAAAGTTTGTCGTATTAACAATCAGTATAGACGATTGCAAAATGAGCTAAATGATAAAGCGAATATATACTGTTAATATGCCATGCTCCCAATTTTACATACTGTACAAAAATATTGCAAATAAAATGCTGTAAAATTAATCAAGGAATATAATATTAGTACTGTATACATGTATATGTCAATCAGCCTCTATGGGAACAATAAAAACGAAACAGTGCTAGTCAAACAGTCATCTTGTGCCAAATTGTTTTATATTCAAGCCACCTATTGTTGTTGAATGTTATATTGAATATCTTGTTTGTACATTTGTGTGAACTAAACGTTATCTGTAACGTAAAAAGACTCTAATGATAGAACTATTTACCATTTTACCATTTAGTAATGGAGATTTAAACATGTTTTTTCATACATTAACAAAATTCCAATCTGAGTCAATTTTACCAGACTATCAATACAAGAAGATTTTACTAAATACAGGTAGATTAGCAAAATGTAGTGGCACTAAAAACCGCGTCTGGAACAAACGGCATGATTGTTGATAATCATAATTATATCATGCTGAGGTAGAACCATATCGTTAGGATATGGAGCCGGTAAATGCATTTACCATCTCAGGTTTTTCAAAAAGAACTTTTGATCAACTTGACAAACATCACCAACAATAATTCAATTCTGCACTCGGGGGTCCCATCTTCAGAAAAGTTGTGATTAATTCAAAATCAATTGCTAGTTAGCAGTCTTTCATCTTTTATGAACATAATTGCGATAGATATCAATCGCAAGTAAGCTGTGATTGATATTAACTCTTTATAGGATGGGTCGCAGACATGTCCTTATAATAATGCCATTATATTTCTTTAAGCTACGTAAAATATTCATCACATTTTAAAACTACAATCCCATAAGAAAAGACAAATTTATCATCATCTCACTGGTGGAGCTGTACAATACAATGACCTTATCTTTAATATTTCCACCAGCATTTATTTGTGTTTCTCAAGATTAGATACAATAACCATTTCATGTATAACTAAGCAACAGTATTTTAAAACAAGATTTTCTTATCTTACATACCAAATGAAAATCTGAACATAAATATACAAATTCTTCATAATGTAAAACAAGTAGAAAAAGAACACCAGGGTGAATAGGAACAACATTTGATATTTGTTAATAATAATTTGTTTTCTCCCAATACAAGAGTAGACATTTTACTGTTAACTTTTTTACTGTTATGTTTTTATGTGACCAGAGAATTCATTTATTTGTGACAAGCTACACTGAAAATAAATTAACATCATGTCAACTTGTTCATGTATATAGCAAATGGAAAGAATCTGAACGATTCCCGAGAAATAAAAATTGCCTAAATAAATTTACACTTTATTAACCCCAGTGTTCCTACCCACCCTGTGTTATTGCATAACAAAAGATGGACAGAACAAAATATACAAATAATACAAAAATATACAAATATGATTATTCTTTATCAGATAGAATTTCATGATATTACACCAATTGATGTGCCTCTGCAATAACTAATTCGACCTCCAAAAAAACTCAAGAAGTTGAAATACGCAACCCCACTATTTTCTTTATCATTGTCTATACACACAGCTTAGTGTTTTATGCATGACATTGTGACCCCTGTTTTTCCTAATTTCATTAAAATAGCCTTACAGAGCACAAACATCTGCCTCACTCATATAGTCATCTCTAAAGAGCACATGGCTGAATCAATTTAAATGGCATGCCTACAGTGTCCAGTAATATACATGGACATTTCATGGAAAGTACTGTTATTGTAACACATTGGAAATGCTGTATATGGTGATAACAATTAGGATAAGACATTTGAGATTTAAACTTTTTGATCTCAATACAGAATATATATCTCTAGGATCTTCGGTAAGCAAGTTAATCTCCTGAAAGCAATAGCTGTCAATGTGACCTCTGGTCTTTGATAAAATTCTCAAAGGTCACAGTTGTAATGTCCTCTTGCTGATCATTCCAAGGTGGAGGTTAGAAACCTTCTGGACCATTCCTAAAAAGCTGAGTTTAATTGCAAATTGTACAAACAGTAAAACATATTTTCTGGCTTTTGTTAACACCATTATGACCCTGTGACCTTTGACCTCAAACCTCATACACCCACAATCTAAGTACATCCTTGCCCTTTCACTCATACTTCAACTCAAAGTTTGGTTTGAATTGTTTAAATACTTTACAAGTTATCGCGGTAACAATATAATTAATAATTGTCATTAACACTTTTATGACCGTGTGAACTTTGACCTTTGATCTTATACACCCTAAAACTAATCCCTTCAGCCTTGCATGCTTATTCAAACTTGATACAAGGATACAATTGCATATACAGTAGTGTTTGTAAACTAACAGAACAAAAAGGTGGGTGTTTCACTTGAGCACTCTAACATCAGCAGGTCCCATCGCACTGGCAAGATAATGCCACTACTTCATTGTACATGAATTGCCTGTTGATGTTTTGTTACAAGATTTATGAGTTAAATGGAAAAATAAGGCAACCAAAACTTTCGACCAGTCTTCGAGGATATTCTCTACACTTCTATGTACATTTGTTTTCATATATCATGGATATGATTAAAATATATATCTTCTTCCCTAACAAATCAAGCACCTGGTTACATGTTTTTATAGACCATGGAATTGGAATGCATACCTTATTAACGCAATCGCTTTAATATTACCCTCTTTTTTATAATAATGCTTTTACAAATTAATTAATGCCCATAAAATCTATATATTATACAATTCCTCTCTCTAAAAAAGAATGAACAAATATATTTATCTCTTTATTTTCTTCTGTCAGTTGTCGGCAGTGCCTGTGGAAGTGTATGTTTGTCCTTAAGGGCCTCTTTACAACTAAATTTAATCATCTCCATCTTTTTTTGTTCTCTCTGTGAAGTAGGTGTTTCCATAGGTACCCAAGTATGCACCCCAACCCTGCTGGTGGTAGGGTAAGATTTTGGCACACCGCGCCCCTGGGTTGGTCCTTTGCGCCTCCTTAAGACCGCAGTCACACGAGAGGCGTAGCCTGTAGACTGTCATCTCCCCTGCATCCAGGTTGAAGGGGTAGATGTTGAGAGGGTCGGTAGGCGCATCGGTTGGGGGCGCTGGAACAGAAGCAGCTGTAATACCGGTATATAACAAAATTCACTTAGAATGACCAAATCCACACATTGTTATCATTGGGAGGGGCAGCAACACGATTTTGAAAGTATGAGGAGGAAGTTCAACTTTGAAAAATGTGGATTCCAAGAAAAGAGACTAGATCTTTCCTTCTCCCGTAGTTGGGAATCAGGTTGGTCCATGATATTCTTTTTGGTCTCTTTTCATTATAGATTGGAGAAAAGTAGACTTGAGAATGAAAAATAAAAAACAAGAAATGATAAAAATTAACCATCTACATACTTGAGCTGAATGTCCTTAAATGGGCTACTCATGATCTTGGGAAGACAGTTTTACAAACAGGTCTATTCTACACAGTAGGCTTGCAGTAGCACCTTGTGAGAGAGATGGAGGATTGAGGAGTCCTGAAAAGGTCTTTTTTAAGACTACACCAACAGTCCTTTTAAGGACTACACACCCTCAAGAAAGATTACCAAGAGTCCTTTTCTGGACTCCTCAATCCTCCCTCTCTCTTACAAGGTGCTACCGCAAGCCTACTGTATATCTACATCACCATGCAAGCCGATACTGACAAGCAGCATCTAGGTCTATTCTATTATCATAAGCATAAAGACAAACACATTACTCACATATTTGTTTCTCTATTGATGCTTACATGTATATTCAAATCAACTGTAGGTCTATCTGGTCACTTAAAGAGATTTAAAATGTTCTCAAGGAATTGGCACCGTACATTCTACATTACAAAAAAGAAATGAGGATAAATCTTTGTCATAAATGTGGATTAGTCTACCTAGGTCTTACCTAACTTCCTACAATGTTCTGATCCCAGATGATCGTAAGCATCATGGTCAAGCCCGTAATACTCATCTGTAGGAGAAACAAAAGCACACAAAATCCATTCAAAATAAGACCTAGAAAATTAGACTTATGTACGTCCAGTTCTCATGATGCTTCCGGTACATGAAGTTGACAGAAGGCACACAAGACCAATTCCTATGATGCTGTTGACCTTCCAGTCTCATAAACCATATACATCATTGTACACAGAGTCAAAATTTTCAGTCATGGCGAATCTTCCCGCCTCGCTCAGTACAACACATGAACTTTGTGCTGTCAGCATCTCCACCAGATTAATAAAGACATAAATTCTATATGGAACTCCTGATGACAATTAAGCAGTCAGTGACTGTCAATTTGTTCTGAACGTCGAGCCTTGCGTCGAGACCTTGAAATATCTATTTATAGAAGTAATATTTGATGCTCACATTTTTATTACACTATAATACATATGAAAATGTTGCTATCATTGAGTGCTTGGTTTTATTGCAATTGCCCAATTATGCCTATGCTCAGACAAGGGCACTGCAAATTGATTGCACTTGAGTTCTAGCCATACAAATGCAAACTTACTGCTTGGATCCATTCTCTGTTTTTCATTATCCATCCAATCGTCAATGCATTTTTGCTCTTTAGCTGTGATGACCTGAATAAGAAAAGAAAAAAGGAAACGTGTCATGAACAATAGATTGCCAAACATGTTATTAAAAAAAAAAATGTAATTAGAAACGATCCAAGGATTTTCATCTAAACTATTGGTTTACAATCGCATTGATACCACAAATTCAGCCACTATTACCACTTCTTGTATTTAAAGAACTACAAGCACCTCCTAATTTCATCAACTACAATTTCATTTCCTCTACTTAATGCTATTAATATTATTCATCCATACAATGCAAGGATATTTCCAAGAACCATCTTTCTTATTAAGGCTAAAACATTTCACACCAATTCTGCCATCAAGACTATTGCCAGCATTTTACTATGTTGGTTATACGTCCATTTACATGTTTCAAACATGTAGCATATACCTCATTGCTTGAAGGCGTGGGTAGTCACACATTAAGCAATTATGTAAATCTGTGCTTTGATCCATCAAGAAAACTTTGCATAACATTCAACAAAGAATGCATGTACACAAATACAGGGTTGAAGTGAAAATTTGTAAGCAGCTCACCCTGTTGGGTTTAGGATAGAACCAATATGTCGCAAAGATGACATCGATGCTATTAGGGTTGCTGGGTAGGTCATCCAGGACTGGACTAAGAGGTGGAGCCAGGGTTCCTGTAGAGATGAGTCTCTGGATCCCTCCTGCATCATGGAGCCCAGCATGACGGCGTGATCTCAGGTGCTGCTCATCCTTGGACCTGCTGGACCTTGCATCTAAGAACCTGGCATTGCGCTTGGACAGGAAGCTACTGGTCTTTCCTCCAATCTTCCCTTCACTGTCCAGTCCAAGGAGGTCTTTGATGATGTCCTCAATCTCCTCCTCTGAAAGGCCATCAAGGTCATCGAAGGGATTTTCATCGCCCGTTTCTCCTCCCGATTTCTTTTCCTTTGGAGATCCAAACCAAGAATCCGGGAGACCAAGATCCTTGAGCTTCCCTGCAATATCTCCAGCCAACAAAGAATCATCATCCGGCGGTAAGGTAGTGGTCATTGTTGCTTCATTTGCTCTAAGTTCTGGTGAGCTCCTATCATCACTTTTCTTAGTACTTAGTTCATAGTTGGTCTCTTTGTTTGAAGGATCCCTTTGGTCAGGTAATCCGTCATCCTCATCACCGGGAGAATCACCTTGATCCTGGAGATTGTCCGATAAGGCAGACAATCGGGCCATCAGTTTATAATACTCACTCTGGAAATCAAGTGTAGGTGTCTCGGTGTGTGGAGATGCGGTTGTGAGCTTGGGAGTCTGAATAGGATGAAAGTAATAGAGAGGGAATGATGTGGCTATTATTAAGGGAGATCTGTTGTGATTTGCAGACACAGAAGTTGGTTATTCCATCCTATTTTTAGTATTTTGAGTTGTTCTGGATTTTTCTACAGCTTTATATTTGTAAAGCGCTTAGAGACATTTGTATTAAGCGCTATATACAAATTAAAAATCATTATTATTATTATTAAACTTCCTCTTCAAGTCTGTGTATATTCTTGTACTGGTATTTGTGATGAAGATTGCCCTCATGGTATTCTGTTTTCACAGTAACATCATTACACTTGACAACTAATGTTTCAATAAATTTGTCAGAATATCTTAAAAAGATATTTGTAACTATATTTGTCTCCAGACTAACCCTAGCCAATATTCAAAATATCAAGAGTGCTCCAGATTCCTGATTTTGCTCTTTTTTTGGCAATTAGATTTGTCTCCAGGGTATAGAGTGAACATTTCACTACTGCAGACTTTATGAGCACACCAGATTCAGGATTAATAATTTTGTTGCAAAATGAATTTCTTGCAATGAAAATTTTGGTTGTAATTTGCCAATAGTGTCCGGATAGTTTCAAGTCTTACGGTAAATATATGAATATGTTCCATTACAATTAAGTCCTTTGTTGCTCTGATTGCAAACAAATTTCATGCTTTTAAAGGTAAAGACCAGTAATGGTCATGCGATTGCATTGTGAAAGAAACGTTGTGGAATCGATCAGAAAAGGTTGATCATCTAGCATCTAGCATCTGCAAGGTTCTGGAATCATCAAAATGATAAGAAATTTGGCACATTCTTCGTAAAGTTACAAGCACTATACACAGAAAGATGTATATGGGACTACCCTATATCTCTCACAGACCATGAGAGAAACAAATTTACCAAATATATGAAGTAGTAGGCGGTTTCCCGGCAAATTTTTTATCATCATGTATTAGTCAAAACATATTCTTTCACATGATTGGTAATGAGAGCTTGAATTTCATTTTTTGAAATTGGGGCGTTTCCAATACTGGTCTTTACCTTTAATGTTATGCAAAGATTTTCGTTTCAGACAAAACTCCATGCATGTCCTTCTTCATTCCAGTGATTTATGTTCCTACTATTGCCAATAGATTTCTTCTTTTTAAAGGTCTATCACTTATGATTATTTAACGTATCATATTCTTAAAGTTTCTGGTTTGCTGTACACTACATGCTCATTCCCTTATACATGTATGTAAATGATTTAAATTTTTGTTGTTGCAAATACATTGCCTGCCGTAAAAAACAGCCATTAATCATTTGTACAAATGTCATGTTGGAAGAGTTTCTGGCTTTACAGTATTAAAGCTATTTAAGTATAGTACATCCCCTATTACAGACAGTCCAAGAAGTAAGTATTTATACTCAAAGTTTAGTCATGTTTAAGGCAAACAAAAATATTAATGTTCTGTACATTTATTTGAAATAGTTTGTTTAATTGCAACATGATTTTTATTTCTAATGTTATACTTAATCATGAAAACCAGTAAAATTAAGAAAAGATAAGAAACTAGATGAAACTTTGACTGCGTGCAGTCGAAAATGATGCCTCCGTTATAGAGCAATTTTACAAACCAAAACAGAAGAAATTTGTCAAATTCAAGTTCGATTGTAATCCATTTTCAGGTTCTCAGAATATTGTGATTACAAGCTTTTTCTCATATATATGTATGACCCTTTGATATTTGACCTCATGACCCCAAAATCTACTCAGTTCATTGGCTCTGCAAGATACATACATGTCCTGAGTTTCATGGTAATCTGTCCATCTGTTCTAATGTGATCACAAGCTATTTTTGCGTACATAATGAGCCCTGTGACCTTTGACCTCGTGAGGCCAAAATCTAATCAATTCATCGACTCTGCAAGATACATACATGACTAAAGTTTGGCAGGAATCGATTCATTGGTTCTTTAGATAACGCGATCACAAGAACGGGACGTACGGACGGACGGTCAACCCGAAAACATAATGCCTCAGGCTACTTCGTAACGGAGGAATAAAAATGTAAACCTGCATTTGTTGGTTCTTGTAATATGAACTTACCTGATGTTGTTTCTTTGGTGAGGATGGTTCTACCGATGCTTGCTCATTGTTTTCTCTCAGCTCCTTGTCGTATTTCTGCTCGTTGTTTTCTTTCTGCTCCTTGTCGTATTTTTGCTCGTTCTGCTCTTTCTGTGCGTTCTGCTCTTTCTGTGCGTTGAGTACAATATTTATTACTTCAGGGTATTTGTCCAGGTAGTCCATGGCCATACGAGTAGCATTGACTTCATATCTGTGCTCATCTGCAAAGCGGTCAGCTGTATCAGGGTAAGCACAAAAAGAAATTGTTGATAATATTTGATAATGCTTGAAATGTTGCAGGCATATATCCCTTTGCAGATTTAAACAAAAAACTATTGCTTAAATAGTAAGTAACTAAAATATATAGTTTTTATTCCTATCAAATTAGAAGAAAAAATTGCATTCTCTTATTATTATTATTAGTAGTAGTAGAAGTAGTAGTGACAATGAGTAGTGATGAGTTGTAGTAGTAGTAGAAGTAGTAATGAGTAGTAATAGTAGTGGTAGTATTAGTAGTAGTAGTAGTAGTAGTAGTAGTAGAAGTAGTATTTGTTGTGGTGGTAATGGTGGTAGTGGTAGTAGTAGTGGTGGTGGTGGTGGTAGAAGGACCATTAGTAAAAGTAGTAGTAGTAGTAGTAGTCATGGTAATGGTAGTGGTAGTAGATGTGGTGGTAGAAGGACCAGTAGTAGTAATAGTGGTGGTAGAAGGACCATTAGGAGTAGTAGTGGTAGTAGTAATAGTAGTAGTAGTAGTAGTAGTAGTAGTAGTAGTAGTAGTAGTAGTAGTCGTAGTGGTAGTAGAAGTAGTAATGAGTAGTAGAAGTAGGAGTAGTAGAAGTGGTGGTGGTAGAAGGACCATTAGAAGTAGTTGTAGTAGTAGTAGTAGTAGTAGTAGTATAAGTAGTAGTAGTGGTGGTAGTGGTGGTAGTGGTAGTAGTAGAAGTAGTAGTAGTAGTAGTAGTAAAGGTAGTAGTAGAAGTAGTTCCAGTAGCAGTGCTAGTAATAGTACAAGTATATCATATACATTACCTGAAGTATAGATACTCTGCCCAGGAGCATCCATGTGCTGATTCAGTAGGCTTGCCGTCGTCACAAATCCTGTATTGAACCTCTCCTGACAAAAATTGGTTCGACTCAGGGATTTTTTGCCTTGATCTTTAACAGAAACTTGGCCCATCAAGGAAACAGTGACAGCAAAGAGGGAGACAAATTGAAGTAAAAGTTAGTAGGAGAAAAGACTCTTTGTTTTAAATATACAGAGAAAGAGAGACAAATAAAGAGATTTCAACAATATGAAATGGTGCAAACAAAACTAAAGAAAACAATATAGAGATGAAGAGATTCATTACTTAATTCATGGAGTTCCTAATGAAGGATATCATGTCCACTTATTCTTTAAAAATAATTATATAATATTCACTGGCTTTGAGGGAGATACCACATATATTGCCCAAACTAGACTCATATTGCCCCGAGTCAAAGACGAGGGCAATATGGGTCTTGTGAGTATCTCCCGAAAGTTAAGCCAGTCAATATTTTTATGGTTATCCAAATCAGACATCTAGAGCAAATACATATTAATCAACCATGACAATCTTAAAGAACTGAACAAACTTTGTCAACCAGCAGTGCGAGTGCGGTCAATATGAGACTATATTTTCAATCGTCTCTACATGCAAAGTCTATACGGGCAGGGAGACCAAGGAAAATACAAAGAATATATCCCTTTGTTCCCACTGCTAATGAAAACTAGGGCGATACGGTTTTGTAAATGACCAGGTCAGATGTCTAATACGGGTAATAATATTTTTTTAATTTACCATGTATGCCACTGTTTATCTTATTATGTACCCATCACTAAAAGGACAATTTCAAATATAGGTATTCAAAGAAAAAAATGAATACAATGCATGGTTACCTTCTTCTCCAAGAAAATGAAAGGCCTCTGTCTCTTGCTCATGCCCTTCACAACCTAGTCTCCAGTAGAAGTATGCATCATTGCCATATCCCTCAGTACTTACAGTCAAGGGAGAAGTGGTTGTAGAACCTGAGCTAATGATGTTTTTCTGGAGAAGAGGTTGTCCATTCCTTCCATCCAAGATATTAATCTGTTATTTAAACAAATAAAAGTTCATGGAAAAATTATTAGTTATGAAAGTTGAAAAGTTAAATACCACTACCAAGTACCAACATTTTTTGCTCATAGTAAATAAAGAAAATCATTAAATCATGTAAGCCTACTATTCATGATACATGGTCTAAATTTTTAACTTCATTTTTACATGTATTGAGAGGATCCTTGCAGGGGCCATTCACGACGATCAATCCACAGCTCGTGGAAAAAAACTTATTTACAAAACATGTAGTCATGTCAAGACATCCATGCATATACATGTACGTACATGTAGGTGAGCAAGTCTGTGTGTAATGTTCACACGTGAATACTTTCTATTGTGACGTAAACAAAGACACATACGGAACTGCGTGTACAAATTATACTTATCAAGACGAAGCGCGCGCGGTGAGTAAGACATGTGCTTGCAGAGGACGTGACTAGTTGCAAATACGCGTATTGATCAACCGTAAAACACGATAGAATATTGTGTGATTATGCAGGTAACACGCATCCCCGATAGAGGAAATCATTTACTAGCGTGCAATCTATCGTGTTTTCATCGTGATTTGTTTGGTATTTCATCGTGTTTTCATCAATATTTTATCGTTAAATACCCATCAAAATCATGCACAATAACTTTTGGGTGGTATTGTATGAGGAGTACAATGGGTAAATGGCAGAGTGGCAGACACTGTCATTTACTGCACAGTTTCTTGACAGAATTTTATGATTTCTTTCACAAAAGAAAGAGGAATTACAACTATATCTATATATTAGATAGCTTAGACAGATACCGAGATGTGATTGGTCCAGAGCTCGTCACGTGATATCAATTGCGAGGATCAAAATTGTTATATTTTCCTGGCCGGTCACTTTTCGGTGTTATATTTTACTGGCTGGTGAAATGAATATATTTTTAATCAATGCATGTCGCCCTCTTGAGGACTGTATGTCACCAATTACACACATTACACCATTACCAAGGGTCATTATATTTTTTCAAATTTTTTTTTTCATGAATTTTTTTTCCCTTGAAATTAATTTTTCCACATTTTCATTTTTTCCCAAAAAATGCTTTTTTGGGTAAGATTTTATTTACTTATTTATTTTTTTTCCCCAATTTTTTTTTTTTTTTTTTTTTTTTTGTAAGGTTTTTTTCTTTCTTGAGCTATCTCGACAGATTATTTTTACGTAATTTTGATTGTCCCCAAATTTTTTTTTTAAATTTCGGGGCAAAAAAAAATATGGACCCCCCCCCCCCCACAAAAAAAGGCTATCTAATATAACAGTTATTGACTGGCAGGGGGTATATAACATTCTTTGGACCTGAAGGGAGTTATATTTTCCCTCGTGACCATATTTTCCCTCAGCGCTGCGCGCTTTGGGAAAATATAACCACTTGGGAAAATATAACTCCCTTCAGCAGTCCAAATAATGTTATATTACACCCCCTGCCAGTCAATAACTGTATAATAATTTTAATTCACACTAACATTCAAGTAAGATTACTCAATATGTATGTGGGGCTTGTTTTGGACAAACATTCACTGTGGCATGAACAGGAATAAAAGAACGACCAAAATCAAGATAAATATTAAAATAATTTAAAAATACATTTTAACTTTGATCAACCTCGATGCAACTCCAATATGCAAAAAATACACCCTGTGGACTTGGATTTGAACTATGGTACCTCCCGATTGGATTAACATAACATAACATTTATGGCATAAACATTCATGCCGCGACAAACAGCAGCACCTGGAGAACGTTAGCCAGCCTGCGGCACCTGGGCTAGCAAACCACATTGTCTGCATTTTGGAGGCCTTTCCACAGGGTAAAAGAGTGAGAGGTTTCTTCACCCCTTGCAGAAATATTGCCAAATCTATCTTGATCGAGATCCAGTGAACACTAATATCCATATAAACGTCCCTTTCAGATCATTAACACACAGGCCGAGGACTGACCGTTCGAACTGACTGTTCGGACTGTTCGGACATTTTGTGGCTCTCAAATTTGCTACACACTGTCTAGGCAACAGTAGTGTGGTGACCCCAAATTATTACAGTTTTAACTTCGTTACCTCTGTCTCATTTGGATGTGAAAAGTCATGCAATTTGTCTTGGTCACTTGTGGCCCACAAAAAGGTGACACAATAAACCATCAAAACATCGGCCATGCAGTGGTGAATCAAACACATTAATCTTAAGGTGTTTCACAATTCTGGATGTTCTTATAGCAATGTCAGGGAAACTGTTGCTTTCATGTTGGTAGGTTCCCTTCTTTAAAAGTGACATTCCTTCCTTTATTTTACACACCAAACTTGCTGCAGTTGGCTTTGGTCTTGGGGCACTTTAGCATGTAATATCTGAAAAAGTCTTCCAGCACTATAACCTCCCTATAAAGCATGTTTTAGACTGATAACCCATCATTTCTACACTAAAATGTGAGTTTTAGACCCCCAAATCTGACATTTTTATTTACCTGTACGTAGTAGTAGAGAGGGTAGCCAGGCCCATAGTTGTAGACGACCATGAAGTCAGGAACATCATCATCGTTGTAAAACCCTGCAGCTGGAGTACTGAAAGAATCAAAGATAGAAAGAGGTACAGTTAGTGACAGGTACGTTGTACAACACACAGTAACATCATCATCATGCATTGTACAAACCAGCAGCTGGAGTACTACACAAATCAATGATAGAGGTATAGTTTGTGTACTTGTAGCAATCAGATATGATGATTATTTACGTCTGGGGATCAAACTTTAACATCACCACTCAAAAGGCGTGACTCAATCTCATAATCCTCTTTTAACCTGTGTTACCTATAGGATTCTAGCTAACCCTTACTATTGAAATAATGACCAGAGCAAATGTTGGATAAATCTCTTGTGCATGTAGTTCCACGTACAGTCTGTTAAGATTTAACAATTCATTTAATACTTTTAAACAAGAAACATCTTCTCTCTCTCTTTTTATAATGCAAAATAACCAGAAATGCATGCCCGTGCAATATAACATCTATTGAATATCATGTGACCAACAAGGATCCACGTAGGTGTTGTATAAACTTTTATATTTTTGTTTTATCTTGAATGTTATTATGTCAACTTATATTTAATTTTGATATTGTTATCCCTTGTGTTATCCATTGTGTATTTGAACAAACCTGTATGATTCTGAAGAAGGCAAAGTGTAATTCCACAGCTGTTCATAGCTCTGACCATTAAACGCAACAATGGTTGAGTTAAACATGGACATAACGATGTCCTTTACGCCATCTCCGGTCAGATCAACAAGTACAGGGGGCGTCATCACACCCTTGTAAGGGTCAGTATAGATGACCTTCGCCTGGGGAGGGATGAGAAAACACAAAGGGTTCATAGCAGGATGTAACATCCCCGAGAGCCTATAGAAACAGTGATGCCTCTCATAGTAGTCAATAAATATCTTCGCTTTAGAATGTTAATTACCTCATGCAAAACTATGATCACTAGTCTTTTGTATATTCATCACAATTTTCTAATCTGTAATCAAAGATGGGAATTTTAAACCAAAATTTTTACAAAATTCTGCCCCCCAAAATTATTTTTTAAAGGAAATCATTATATTACACACTTTGGTCCTATTGACCAATGAAATTATCGAGTATTTAGAGCTCCCTCATTCGATACAAGATATGGCACGGTTGTACAGATATTTCTGGAGTTACCACAAATTTTATCATTTTCGGCTAGTGATATTTTTTCAATGGAATTTCCCTGAATACCAGTATGGGATGAGCCTTAATTTTTGTACATCTATTGCATGCTTTTGAACCCCAAAATAAAAATGTTAAACTTTGAGTAGTGAACTGTTGCAGTGCCATGTGAACCTACAATATTGTTTAAATCTTAACCCGATATTAACTGGGGGGGGGGGGGGGTCAATTTGACCCCCCCCCCCCTAGAAATTTTGCGACTACTCTAAAACCGCGGCAGATATAAAAAAAATTCTTTTCATGAATTTTTTCTTTGAGTCTTACGCATCTTTTAAAACAATTGTTTTGAAAATCAGACGTACAAAGTCATGTGACCTTTGGTCTTTGCATGTCAGGCCGAAAATCGCTCATTTTTGTAATTTGTGTACAAAACATATGGAAAAGTCATTTTTCCTAAAAAGAGATAAAACATTGGTTATTTAGTCTTTTTTAAAGTTTAAGTGTTTGTTTTGGGTCAAAATAGTTGAATTGTAGTTATAAATGAAATAAAACAACAAAAACAATAAAATACATAAGTTAACAAAACAATGAAATACATAAGAAATTATTAAAACATGAGATAACATAAGGAATAACCTGGCTCTTCCAATTGTATGTAACAAATATATGTAGTGTAAAAGAATGCTTAAATATGAATAATGTCTGATTTATGGGCAAAAATGTGAATTGTATGACCTTATTTGCATAAATTACCATAAATATGAAAATGAGTGAATTTGTCAAAAATTTGAAATTACCATAGTATTCTATACACTTCACTTGACATGTATGCAAATTTTGGCAGCGATCGGGGGTGAAACGGCCAAGATCTTAGATTGACCCCCCCCCCCCCCCCAGTAAAAACCCGGTCTGAAATAGCCCAGTTAAAATAGGGTTAAAAGTTTCACAAACTTCAAGTTTAAAACTACAATGGCAGTGCATTGTAATCATAGTAATCATTCATAACATATACCTGACTCATGTTGCAAATAATGATATCTTCTAAGGGTAAAGCCCAAAGGGAACCTCCAACTGTCTCTCCTCCTGTTCCAAAGAGAACCATCGCTTTCCCACCTTGCTGGTAGTAAATCTACAAGAGAACAATCATATGGTAACATTTCTGAAAACATCAGTAGTGATGGTAGTAGTAGCAGTAGTAGTTGTAGTGATAGTAGTAGTAGCAGCAGTAGTAGAAGTAGTGTTGACTACTCTGAGATTTGTTTCATCAAAGATGTTGGATTACATTGCAATTGGGTTTTAGGTTATGTATAGGGTTACATTTGGGTTATGTAGTCTACTACGTCCATGGTTGAATAAACTAACATTTTTGGTTAGTAAACAAATATACCATGCACGGAGAGGCTCTAGTTGAAATTATGGATCAAGGTGGCAGGAATAGCACTATTTTCTGAGGGGCGTAGCCCCGAAGAAAATAGTGCTCTTTCTGTCGCCGAGGAATCCATAATTTCACTAGTGACTTGAAATGCATGATATATTTGTTTTATATTTTTCAAAACAACTTTATAAATTAAATATTAATACTAATGTTTACTGTCACTGAAGTAGCGTATATTGCAGTTGCTCTGGCTGGTGAAAACAGCGCAGACGGACATACCGCGACCGATAGCACATTGATCTTGATCGATCGCATATACATGTATATGACATCATCCATAATATAGTGCCATGGTATAGTGCACTATACCATGGATGACGTCACGGTTCCATCATAGCAATGTTATGTTGGGTCACGTGATGCTTTGTTGACCAATCACTGAACAAGATTTCATTGATCAAAAATATAATAAGGATATATTGACTGCTTTGAGAGGCATAGTGGTTTCTATAGGGTCAAGGGAAACTCACAACCTGCTATGACCCCAAGGCGCTTGCGCCGCGGGGTCATAGCAGGTTGTGAGTTTCCCGAGACCCTATAGAAACAACTATGCCTCGAATATTAAAAGCAGTCAATATATATTTTATATACCGAAAAAAAGGAAAATGTTGACTCAAAAAATTGGAAACAAAAAACCCCAGTATTTTGCGATCGAGACTAGTACACAAAATGGCGATCGGTCGTCTGCGCTGCGTGGATTGGTAGATTCGTCGCCTGAATGCAGCGACCAAAATCGAATTGCACTCAAACACCGTTAACGGTATTGCGCATCGGTCATCGCACAAAAGAAACTTATACGGTAACACGTAAACCAAAATGGGGATCGCAGCAAAATGACGTCACGTTTCACAGCCATGGAAAAAGTGCTATGAAAAATGGATATAAACCGGTAGAGCCGGGAAAAATGACTATGAATTTCATTTAGCGGGCATGGTTAAGAACATGACTGCATTTTCAACCAATCAGAAGACAGGATTAGTAAAGAATCTTAAAATGAGGTATATAATGTATGATAGTGACTGCAGAGCAATCACCACAGGGAAATATGTTGTAAAAAGAAATGATTGCCATGCCTATCAGCTCAGGTACACGGCAGCATTGGCTAGCGAACTGGCCAGAAAACCACTCACAAAATTCAAGGAGCTTAGTTTACTATATTAATATCAATACAGGCCTGTTGAAGTACACATTGACCTTGGTATAAATATTACACTGTACAAGGGTATTGAGGATAACACATGAAGCAATATGAAAACCATATAGCTATATCAGAACTAATGAATTTAATCTCTCCTCTGAATGCAACTTGCCCAAATATTGTATTGCAAAGCTGATGACTGGATAGAACAAAAACCCTTTTAAGAATCAGGGTTCCAATGTAATGTGACTGTCTAATGAGAACGTAATATAGTGCAAAACCAAACAATTGGGTGGAGCTTATTGCGATGGTGCACCGAGGATTGTCCAGCTGTCAAGCACTGAGACACTTAATATATATCTCAAATGAACCGTTTTTTTAAATATTATACCCACTACCCTTTTTCACGAGTACGCCCCTTCTGTTGAACAATAATCTGGGCCCTGTATTACAAAGAGTTGATATCAATCGCAACTTATTTGTGATTGATATCAATCGCAACTATGTACAAAAGAGATAGGAGATTGCAAACTTGCGATTGATTGGAGGACTTGCGATCGATTTCGATCAATTGCAACTCATTGTAAGACGGGGCCCTGGGCTCTGCCCTACCTTTTAGGGAGGGGCTTTGCCGGATTTAACTTTTTAGATCAACTCCGTATGCATTTAAAATTTGACACTTTTGGGGTCCAGACATAGATGTGGCACACCCATGTGTCCTAGGCTGTTCCAGCCCCGCGATAATTCTTCAAACAGCGTTTCTTTCTACGATTTTCATCTGCTTGTGTGAAGAGGGTATTGAACTAACCTGTGGTGAATAGCCCTGCGATAATTCTTCAAACAGCATTTCTTTCTACAATTTTCATCTGCTTGTTTGAACAGGGTATTGAACTAACCTGTGGTGAATAGTATGATTCCATCCTGTCGGGTACTTCACACCTACTGATTACGCTACCTTCAAACAGCGTTTCTTTCTACGATTTTCATCTGCTTGTGTAAACAGGGTATTGAACTAACCTGTGGTGAATAGTATGATTCCATCCTGTCGGGTACTTCACACCTACTGATTACGCTACCTTCAAATCCGCTCAGTATCATCAGATTTCCACTGTGCTCCACCTCTGCACCTGCGTGTATGGAAAACAAACAAGTTCAAATTAAAGGGTTTGAAGTTTACACATCACTCTATCTAAAAGACCGTCAATACTACTGGGCCATAAGGGATTAGACAACACAGCGAGGTCACTGACAGGTGGCTATCTCATTAACTCAGCTCTCAACTGACAAAAGAAAAAGAGGATCATGGCGGACCGACAGGCACGGATTGGGGAAGTTTTCAATATAGAGGGAGCAAGTAGCTACAAGTAGGACAATGGGGCTTTAAAGGAGAATAAAAGTCAAAAAATGTGATTTCAGTCATTTGAAATCACTAGAAAAATCTCAGATCTTGTACATCATTTTAAAAGCCTGTCTGCATTAGTTTGGCCAGGGGAATTAGACCTCCCTGCAAGGTCACTGACAGGTGGTTTTCTCATCAAATCAGCTCTCAATTAACATAAGAAAAAGGGGATCATGGGGTACCCAAAGGCACCGATTAGGCATTGTTTGCTATACCGTGCGCCCCCAAAAAACCTATACACTTTTGGAATGGCTGCCGAACAAAAAATATACAATTCTGGGGGAAAAGTTGTATATGTATGGAAAGCTCATGAACTCAACCTTCATATGACACCAAAAGGTCCGAACAAAATTCATGGTTGGGTGAGCACGGCTCACTTTTGTAAAGCGTATGAAAATTAGGTTGCGCAGGAATTAGCCTTCCAATTTGTGAGAGGAAAATCCTTTGGAGCTTACAAAATTGAGGGTGATATGATACATTCATGATTTGCTGAGTGAATTTCATGGTTTATTAAACCAAACTGTTATGCATGAGTAAACAGGAATTGCATTTTTTATTGTAACATTGTAACTTTCCCTGGTAGACTCAGTGGTGTGTTCATGGTAGTCAGGATTGGGTGATGGTACATGTTGTAATTTCCATGTTACAAACAGTTATTTTTTACATCTGTGACTTTGAATAAAAACCTTCACCCCACATTTCAATTATTGTAAGATTAGTTGAACATCTCATTGATTTACTTAATACCCAGGTAGGGATTATGTAAATTGAATATTCAAATACGGTTTGTTGAAAAAAGGAATACTTATTCTTCAGGTAAATGGTAACTGAAATGTGGGGTGAAGGTTTTTATTCAAAATCACAGATGTAAAAAATAACAGTTTGTAACATGGAAATTACAACATGTACCATCACCCCATCCTGACTCCCATGAACACACCACTGAGTCTACCAGGGAAAGGTGCAATGCTACAATACAAAATGCAATTCCTGTTCACTCATGCATAAAGGTTTGGTTTAATAAGCCATTAAATTCATTCAGCAAATCATGAATATTATACTTTGTGAGAATGTCAAACCACATTTGTATGTATTATTGCCAATGTAAATTGTTCATAATTCAGCCATCTGGCTGCGAAGTGCAATTATAATAAAACCTTTTCAATTTCAATCTCAATCTCATGATTACATAACATGGTTTTCTAACAGGGTCTCTACCAAATACATTTTTTAAAGAATAGGGCTTGTTCTGGCATGATGCGGTAAACCGCCACAAAGACTGCAGCATCTGTTCACATGTAAGTGAATCGCAAGGGCGTGCAACAAATTTAAGGTCCTGCGCACATTCACTGTATTCCACTTTACTTTGTAGTTTCGCCGGGTCATATCTGAACGAGGCTAAAAGATAAAGTTGAGTTCTGGTCATGCGATTGCATTGTGAAAGAAACATTGTGGAATCAATCAGAAAAGGTTGATCATCTAGCAAGTAAGTATTGGTGTGTACTGCAAGATTCTGGAATCATCGAAATGATAAGAAATTTGGCCCAGTCTTAATAAACTATTAAAGTTACAAACACTGTACACAGAAAGATGTATATATGGGACTACACAAAGATGTGGCATAAAAATTGGTCCCAATTTTTATGATGTTACATGCCACATTTAGAATATTAAGGCATTTGAAGGGCCATGCTTTTCAGAGAACATTTTTTATTTGATGTCTTTTCACACTTGCATTGATAATACAATGATAATGCTCTAAAATTATTGTTCACCTTTTCCCAGAACTCAACCTTCTCTTTAAGGATAATTAATATTTTACCTGGTTTTCTGATAGGGTCACCCCCCAGGACATTGAGCAGATCTCTCACACCGTCGTCATCGACATCATGGATGAACTGGGCCGTGTAGAAGTTGCTGAGAGCTTCGTCTGATTCCTGTACATGATACTTCCAAAGTAGTATCCCGCTAGCTCCATCAACTAATTCCATCACCTGGTACAGAAGAAAAACATTTGTGAAAGAGAAGTGTGATTTCAGGTAAAAAGTGAATTTTTTTAAAGCTTTCAATTCAGTTCAGTTCAATTCCATTGTTTTGTTTAAAGATAAAGACCAGTTATGGTCATGCGATTGCATTGTGAAAGAAACGTTGTGGAATCGATCAGAAAAGGTTGATCATCTAGCATATAAGTATTGGTGTGTACTGCAAGGTTCTGGAATCATCAAAATGATAAGAAATTTGGCCCAGTCTTGTTAAGGTTACGAGCACTGTACACAGAAAGATGTATATGGGACTACCCTCACAAGTGTGCTATATCTATCAGGTCCGAATAGATACATATGTATAATAATTTACCAAATATATCAATTAGTAGGCGGTTTCTCAGCAAAATTTGTATGATCACGTATTAGTCAAAACATATTCTTTCACATGATTGGTAATAAGAGCTTCCATTTCATTTTTTGAGAGGAGGGCGTTTCCAAAACTGGTCTTTACCTTTAACCATTTGCCTATTAAAGGGAACTGAGTTGCTACTGTATTAAGCCTATGGGAATTAATGAACTCAGTAGTCAATGGGTTAAAAGACATTTGTGGCAACAACAAAAATGAATACAAAAGCTATATCAATGAAAATCTTTGGATTCAAGGTCAAAGCTGCCTTAGTGACCCTTAGTGACCACCTCTATAGAGAAACTACCTGTCTATACCATGCATCCCCCCAAAAACTATACACTTTTGAAATGACTGCTGAATAAAAAATATATGATTCTGGGGAGAAAGTTTTATATGTTTGGAAAGCTCATAAACTCAACGTTCATATGACACCAAAAAGTCCGAAAATAATTCATGCTTGGGTGAGAAGTGCTCACTTTTGTAAAGGGTATGAAAATTAGGTTGCGCAGGAATTAGCCTTCCAAATTGTGAGAGGTAAATTGGAGCTTACAGAATTGAGGATGACATGTATGACCATGTTATGATCAATTGTGATGAAATTGGGTTTGCTGAGTGAAATTTGTGGTTTATGGGATTGACATTTAATGCATGAGTGAATATGAATTGTATTTTTTATTGTAGCATTAGGCGTGTCTGCACTATCTCGAGATTGCCAAATATCCAGCTATTTGAATTATCCCGATCGCAAACTATCCAGCTTATTTGCGTCTTCATTAGACCGAAGTAGCAAATTAGCTGGATAGTTGGTCGGGATAATATCCCAAGATATCTCGGTCTAGTTTGCGGTTTTCCGTGTTTACTAGTTGTACTAGCGCGGCGCTGAGCCTCAAGGTCAGTGCGCTGAGCGGTATAGATCGCATACTGGGCGAGGAAAACCGGAAATCGTTGTGCATGATGGGATCGGGATATTTGACTCCGTACTTCGGTCTAATGAAGACGGTCGCAAACTATCCCGCTAGTTGGGAAATAGTAGGATATTTTGCAAACTAGACCGAGATATCTTGGGATATTATCCCGACCAACTATCCAGCTAATTTGCTACTTCGGTCTAATGAAGACGCAAATAGCTGGATAGTTTGCGATCGGGATAGTTCAAATAGCTGGATATTTGGCAATCTCGAGATAGTGAAGACGGGCCTATTGTAACTTTACCTGGTAGACTCAGTGGTGTGTTCATGGGAGTCAGGATGGGGTGATGGTACATGTTGTAATTTCCATGTTACAAACTGTTATTTTGTACATCTGTGACTTTGAATAAAAACCTTCACCCCACATTTCAATTATTGTAAGATTCGTTGAACATCTCATTGATTTACTTGATACCCAGGTAGGGATTATGTTAATTGAGTATTCAAATACGGTTTGTTGAAAAAAGGAATGTCCAAGATGTCGGCTACTTATTCTTCAGGTAAATGGTAATTGAAATGTGGGGTGAAGGCTTTTATTCAAAGTCACAGATGTAAAAAATAACAGTTTGTAACATGGAAATTACAACATGTACCATCACCCCAGCCTGACTCCCATGAACACGCCACTGAGTCTACCAGGGAAAGTTACAATGCTACAATAAAAAAAATAAAAGTTTGGTTTAATAAACCATGAAATTCACTCAGCAAATCATGAATGTATCATATCACCCTCAATTTTGTAGGCTCCAAAGGATTTACCTCTCCCAAGTTGGAAGGCTAATTCCTGCACAACCAAATTTTCATACCCTTTACAAAAGTGAGCAGTGCTCACCCAAGCAGGAATTGTTTTCAGACTTTTTTGTGTCATATGAAAGTTGAGTTTATGAGCTTTCCATACATTCAATTCAATTCAAATTTATTGGTACAGAAGGAAATTCGTTTCGTTTACATGCATTGTTCACAGAGAGAAAAAAAAAAAGAAAAAAAATAGATAAAATGTACATGTGACATGATACATACAACATAAAACTAGTATAGAGAGAATAAACATATAGCACATTATATAGATATTTCCTCTGAATTTATATTACACCTGTATATTCAATATTTGTTCATGTATGTAGAGTAATTACCAAAACAATCTAACATTGTAAATATTAATATTATTATCAATATTACTATTGCTATTATTACTATTATTATTTGTATTTTTATTATTATTGGTTTGACTCATTATATCATTATGATAATAGAATATAAAAAGGCAGACATTGACCACAAACATTTTAACAATCAAAGAGATTCATCATAGTTATTGTCTATATGGTGGAAAAATAACAATGTATATATCCTGATATTCCGATAGATCCACAACAATTATTGTCCCTATACATGAAACCTAAATATGGGTGCACTCAGTGCAGTATGTATAAAATATGAATACCTATTGAAGGCAGTATGAGATCAGTATTAATAAACATGCAATATATTACGACATGTGAGTATAAATAGAAAAGAGACCTTTTCATTTAATTTGAGAAAGAGATGGCTATTGTAAGAAATTAAATATACGTGTCCTATAATAAATACAGATATATTTTTGATCATTTCCTACAATCAAATAAAACAAAATAAAATACATGTGATACATTTTTTACATTTTATATATCATTCAGCAGACGGATTGAGTACGGAACAAAAGAGTTCAGGTACCTCGAAGTGCGGGATTTCTTTAACTGCCACCTTCTACCACTTCTTAACTTGACATAATTACCATTCAGGGGGTGGCTGGAATCCCTTGACAGCTTGACAGCTTGACAGCTTGACAGTTGAGTTTATGAGCTTTCCATACATATAAAACTTTTCCCCCAGGATCATATAGTTTTTATTCGGCAGCCATTTAAAAAGTGGATAGTTTTTTTGGGGATGCACTGTAGAGACCATATAAATGTATACATGTACTTTGTATTCCTTGAAGTTTTTCATTAAAACCTCTACTTAACGAATCTGTACTTAAAGACCACATGCCTTTAAAGTAGATATTCATTAATTTTAAAAACTAACTTTATTTTCATTATTGCAAAGTTGAACTTATGATTCGACAAGGTTATCAAAATTCAATGCTGGGAAACATTCGAAGTAATGATTATTATAAATTACAAAACGCTTAAATACAGCCCCGGCATGGCACCTGAAGAGCTCTCCTATACGCTGATGAGATGTGTGAGATCACAGTATGGACATGAGTTGCACAAGCAGACGATGCCCCATGACATCTCACACATTTTCAGTGTCTGTGTTTTCATCTTCTCTTGAGTTCTATCTCTTACTTCACTACCGTCAGACTAAATGTATAATCTATTGCCTCACTCTAAACCCCGCGCATGGTTTTATTTTGATGACAAATGAAGCGATACAAAAATAAAGGAATCTGTCGCTTGTAAACAAAATAAGACGCCATTGTATATTCAGCTGCACACACCGGGGTATGTTCGGCGTTTCAAGAGGGAACAAATGCCATCCTTAGTATCATTCCGAGGGGTTTTCAATTTGAAAGTCTGGTTTCTTTGATTGTTTATTAACCCCTATCCTGTGTATTTACAAGCAAAAGATTTTAGTTATGAGAATCGGGTCATATCCCCTTTTGAATGGTTTGACATGCCATTACATATATATAAACTAAACTCATTATAATTTGACAAATAATAGCTTTGCAATTATGTTCATTCTCTATGGGATGTCGTCTGCTTGGGTAGTGTTGGTCCATATAGTGACGTCATTAAAACATCGTTATTTTTCCGGCGAATCTCTCGGATATCCCAGCTGCTATGGAGGTGGCTGTATTTGTATTTTTATAAATCACCCGATATGTAGTTGACCTATAGCTTGTACGATGGCCATCTGTTAGCTTACCAGTTTCTAGTGATACATTAGTTGACATATTTGTGATTTTCTTTGAATTTCACCTTTAAAGACTACCTTTCTTGTCTTTCTTCAGCAGTCTGTATATACATGTACATGTACAGGTCTCACTGTAGGAAACAGCTAGACAACATAAATGGTGACAGAAGTTAATTGTACAGAGCTGTTATAAAAAAAACACAAAGAGTTTTGTCAACATATATTATGATTGAGTTGACATAGATAGCAGAAAACAAAGCTCAAGTTTATGAAACATCATGATAATTTATGAATTGCAGTCCCCAGTGGTCCCATACTTTAATGTTGTGAGTATGAGAAGAAGGACAATTCTAACCACCTCAAGCATTAGAACGGTATAAATCAAACCCTGCTTAACCTTGCCAAAAGCGAGAGAGAGAGGGAGAGAGAGAGAGAGAGAGGGGGAAGAGAGGGAGAGAGAGGGAGAGAGAGAGGGAGGGGGAGGGAGAGGGAGAGAGAGGGAGAGGGAGAGAGAGGGAGAGAGAGTGGGAGGAAGGAGAGAGGGGGAGGAGAGAGAAAGAGTGAGAGAGATAGAGACAGGGAGAAGGGGGAGGGAAAGGGAGGGAGAAGGGGGAGAGAGAGGGAGAGAGAGAGAGGGAGAAGAGGGAGAAGGGGGAGAGAGAGGGAGAAGGGGGAGAGAGAGGGAGAAGGGGGAGAGAGAGGGAGAAGGGGGAGAGAGAGGGAGAAGGGGGAGAGAGAGGGAGAAGGGGGAGAGAGAGAGGGAGAAGGGGAGAGAGAGGGAGAAGGGGGAGAGAGAGGAGAAGGGGGAGAGAGAGAGAGGGAGAAAGGGGGAGGGAGAAGGGGGAGGGAGAGAGATAGAGGGAGATAGAGAGGGAGAGAGACAGAAAGAGACAGATAAAGAGGGGAAAATCATATGAATTCTCTTAACCCATTGCCTAGCTGCAGAAGGCAGGTTGTTCTTGGTTTAAGCCTATACATGTAGGGCAATGGGACAATTCAATATTGTAGGGGTTAAATACTAAAACCATCTTCCATATTGAATGCAAAACATACATGAACATAGACACCTACTTATGTATGGCATCTTTTGTACTACATGTACAGTGTATATAACTACATGAATAACATGCTAACCATGCTAATACATGTAGCTCAGCCAATCTGACAATTACAAACTGACTGATCTATCTCGGCTATACTCAAGGCAAGCCAATGTAACACTATGTTTGTGCTGTTGTCTGTCTGTTATCATATATCTCGTCATGGTCGCTGACGTGTAATAGAAGCGCCGAGCTGCGAATCACTGAAGCCTTCACGTTTTCAAAAGCTTCCAAAATCTGATCCTGAACAATAGAACAGCCCACAAAGCCATCAGCAGCTAGCTAGGCCTCAATGGATTGGGGATATCAAAGGCCATGGCTCAATAAAGGGACCAGCCAAGCTTGACTTGAGCCTTACACCAAACTTTTAAACCTCTATTGAAAACAATTCTTGCCACTTTGTATAGATCAATCACAAGTTGTGCTGTTAATACATAGCACAACAACTACTGATGTACATACATACAATAGCACATACCATCAGGTCTAGCATTTATCCTGCAAAAGTCACGTACAGCATGTAGCAACTGAAACCCTCGCCTACTGGAACTGGTTGACTACTGTATTAAGCCTATGGGGATTAATGAACTCTGTAGTTAATGGGTTAAATTCAAGAATAACATTTGAAGAGGGAGAAGTACTGCATGTATTAACAGCCTTCACATGAAAACCTAATCTTGAGATTTGGTAAAACTTCCTTTTGAAAGAAACTCGCTTTGATTCAGAACTGCTTATCCTAGCTGTCAGTGATAGCATATTCAGACCAAAAAACATAAACACACGCCTCAAAGGGATGTCGTCGAATTTGCCTTATGATCGTTTCATTACATTAAAATTCAAATAAACAAAATGATACAAGTCCGCTGACATCCAATTGAAATGCATGTAAATTTTAAAACACATGTCTCAAAGGGATGTCGTTGAACTTGCATTTATGATGGTTTTGTTACATTAAAATGCAAATAAACAAAATTATGTAGTTTTATTGGCATTTACATGTAGGTATGCAGTTTGCATCGTCTTCTTTTCTCATTGGAAACAATGTGTTTTGACATGCTGATTTTTTCAAGCATTTTTTCAGTCAACAGACGCCGCCAAATAAAATTTATTGCCCTGTTGTGAATCTCATCGTTGAACTCACATGAATTTTGAAGGACACATACAACAAAAATGCCCAGATTTTCTGAAATCTAATATTTCAATTACTTGTTAATTGTTATGCATAACAAGTAAAAGAAATATTTTGGTAAAACTTCCCTTTGAAAGAAATTGCTTTGATTTTAAACTGTTTATCCTGTGAAAAAAAAGGGTTGTTCAGACTAAAAAACATAAACACACGTCTCAAAGGGATGTCGTCGAACTTGCACTTATGATCGTTTCATTACATTAAAATGCAAATAAAATGCAGAACTTACCCCAGCTCTGCCTGCTATGGCACAGTCGTTGACCCCATCCCCGGTCAGGTCACCATTGCAGTTAACGGCAAAGACTTCCATACTGGTATAGTGCCTCCAGAGCTCCTGACCAGTGATTCCATCCAACGCTAGGACTCCTCCAAAACATGGTGTTGATCCGTTGAAGTAAATGGAACATAGTAGGTACTCATCAGCAAAATATGAACCGACATCTGCAGAAAATCAGTTGAATTTAAAGGTAAATATCAATTCTGGTCATACGATTGCATTGCCCAGGGCCCGTATTCAATTCAATACTTAAGTACAAAATTTAAGCTTTTTACTTAGCATTTGGATTAGATAATATACTTAGCCAATTTTGGTATTCAATTCACACTTTTGGCTACGTATTTTACCCTAAAACTAAGCAAAATCTCCATACCAGACTTAAGCCAATTACATTTATTTGGAGTCCTTGATTGGCAGGCATAATGGTTTTCTCAGTTACGCAGTATTATAACCTGCGCACAATTATATCTGCGCGCATTTATTGCAACGCATCAATTGCGCATTAATTTTAATTGACCGTATGACGTCACAATGCTTATCATTAAGTACTTTACTTAGATTTTGTCTTACGTAAGTATCATTCTAAAATGCGATTTGAATACGACATAAGTAAATTACTTAACTTAGCCAGCTTAGTAAATTTCTTACTTATGCTAAGTATTGAATTGAATACGGGCCCTGGAGCCTAGCCACAAAGAACCTCCATGCTTCGCATACATCACTTCATACTCTTTCTTCGTTCCAATTTTATATGTTTAAATTTTTATTTCTGGACCACCCTGGTAACGTAAGCAAGCAAGGAATCCAAAGCTCTAAATTCCAATACAAGGGACATGGTAAATGATACTCTCCAGGACCTGAACACATCTAAATACCGGTACATGGTATAATCCCCTTGAAATAGATAGAACATATTCATATATTATATTCATATTCAAATTTATTGTCCAATGATTGGAAATTTGTTTCATTTGCATGTCAGTACACGATTACAAATTATAAACATCAAAAAGATACATCAGGTACAGATGAGCAAAATATGAATTGGCATCTGCAGACAAGCAAAGGTTGTTATTGTAATTGGTGATGTTATTTTACCTGCCTCCTGACAGAGGAAAGCAGCCATATCCAATGTAATAATTATACCTAACCATGTAACTTTGCTTCGATAACATTTCTGACCATTTTTGTCAACACAATTTTTTTCAAAAGCTAAGACCATTAAAACAAATAACATGTTTAGCGTCCCCGTCCGCCCACTTCCTTTTTTGGGGCCGCCTCCTATTTTTTATATATTTTTTTGTCTTTAATTGATTAAAACATGCCGAGCGGCCATTTTGAGCAGCCATTTTGAAAAAAGACAAACAAGGGCCTCTTCCTTTTTTATTTGGCCTAACAGGAAATGTTAAAGGAGGAATTGAATTGTGGTCATGAAGCTTTACCTGTTGCAAATCCTATGATCACATCTAGCACACTGTCTTGGTTGACATCCAAGAGTCTGATGCCTGACTCTATCTGTAGCTGTGGAATGTTCTGGATCCAGACATCCTGGAGAGTGTACTTGGTACAAGGTAGTACTGTTCTTTGAGGCTCTTCCTGCGGGTTAGCAGCATCAGCTTTGGATGGTTCATCTTCATCTTGACTAGCAACAGTGGGGGTCTTTGGAGGTTCTTTCAAATTGGAAGACACAGTGGGTTTTTCCGAGGGTTTAATCGGCATGCCGATCCCAAAAGGCCTACCCATGGCAAAGTTCCCGAATGAGGCAATGGCAGATAGATGATTTGTATCTTCGTCATCACTGGTCCGGTGTTTGGCGGCATCCTTCAAGATCCTCATCAAAACTAAGGCAAATAGAACAATCACCATAATGATCATGACAACATAGAAAGCCTGGAGGCAATCCTTCTTCCTCTTAAAGTACCATACCGGCTTCCTTTTTGGTAGTTTTGTGTCTGGCGTGTTCGTCTTCACCGGGGTGGGGCGTGCGGGTATTCTGCGAGCAAACTTCCTTGGGGACATCAAAGGTCGACTGAGGTCAACGTATTCATCTTCACTGGAACTGGGGTCGTCCAGGTAGACGTCAAAGTATCGTTGGTTTCCCATACCGAGGGCTGTCATGGGCGCTGTCATAGTCCAGAGAGGAAATCAGTCATGGAAAAGATCTAGAGACTGTCATTGTGGCTTGAAGGGTTGTTAGGCTCCTGCAAGAAAGACTGAAATGAATCGCATTGTCAATGAAAGTATACAAATAATACACATCAGTGAGGGCATTAGTAACAATTACCCACACTATGTACCTTTCGAACAGTCTAACAAGCCCGAGGTGAAAGTTTTGACTGTTTTGAAGGTACTGAGGTTGGGTAATTATACTGATGCCGAACAAATTGATGTGAATTAATTGTTTTATAAGATTATGTTTTATTCGTTTAATTAAATGATGTTTTATTTGTTTAATAAAGTGATGTTTTATAACATGATGTTGATAATGACCGGTCATTACCACTGGATAAATACGCGTTAGGCAAAATAAATACCTGGTCATATACGCTTTCACACAATCATATGATGAGGAAACATGTCATCATCTATAATAATAATAATAATAATAATAATAATAATAATATGTCTTGTTTACCCAGGGTAGCCTCATCAGTATTCATACTGTTCTCCATGAGGGCCCTGCAATCATATTATTACCCCGGTCATCAGATTCAGACTTACCCGCACACAATGTATGCACATTTTCCACTCCCTGGGGAGCATTCCAGCCAGTGCATCATTTTTACAAGCGCACACTTGCTAATCTAAGCACATTAGCTTTCCCATCCTACTGGGTACCCATTTAACACCTGGGTGGAGAGTGGCAAATGTAGATCAATGTCTTGCCAAAGGACATTAGTGCCGCGGTGGGACATGAACCGCGGACCTTGTGATACACAGTCATACCCACTCGTCCACGACACCTCTACTATGTTATATCTCAATTTCAGGTTACTCAAAGAAGGAAAATACAGAAATTATGCATTTTCTTGTATAAACTGTAGTTGAGTTATGCATTCATTCACCTGTACATTTATTGATCCTCCAGTTTACAGGCAGATTCACGTACATGTAAATAACCAAGTACATCAAATAATATCACAATGCCAGGGAATTTGGGTGACTACAGATATTCCCTAACTGCTTTTACAAATTGAAAATCAGTGATATAACCATAAGATGAACATATGGAGTAGATTTAATCAAGTTCTTCTGTTCAGAACTTCTGGAGCCAATTTTTATTCTCCTTTGGATCGTTCCTGGTCTGCCCACTTCTGTTAATACACTAAGAGCAACAACAACAACAACATTAATACTCACATATAAACTACCCAATAGTGAAGATTTTGCAATAAAAACTACATTGATAGGCATATAATGAATGATGCTTTGCTTTTAGCAAAAATATTTATATACCCATTTGTGTTTTAAGCAATATATAATATAGGCTGATATTTGCCTGAGCATATTAGTTGTCACCATTTTAAGAAGTGCTGTGATAAGTATTAATGGCAAGTATACTCTCCACCCAGGTGTTAAATGGGTACAGTACCAGGTAGGATGCGAACATTTAATGTAATTTGCTCAGCATCGTGAGGGTCTGTAAAAATGGTGCCTGGCTGAAGTGCTCCCCGGGGAGTGGAGAATGTGCATACATTGTATGCGGGTAAGCTTGAATCTGGTGACTGGGGTAATACTTTATCTGTAAAGCACTTAGAGTCATAGTCAATTAAGTGCTATATAAATGTGGAATATTATTATTATTACATACTAAATTTACAGTTATTATATTTGAGGCTCCACCCTCCCCCCCCCCCCCCCCCCCCCCCCCCCCCACTCAGGAACGGAGGAACCACATTTATGTTCTCAAAATCTCCGGTAAAGGGGTACTTTTCACGCAACAAAGTCCGGCTTGTAATACATAAAATATTGGCCCGTATTGACTTTACACTGCGCACTTAGAGGGGTAGTGATACTGTGATAGTAATCCAATGGAAGGAATTGCATGGAAATACACTTAATTGATGAACAATAAAATGAATATATCTCAAAATTATACCCCGGTCTTCATTAATCAATCCTAACTCATTATCATAAATAATCCAACATATCTTCAGATAATTAACTCTCAGAGACAATTCCATCACCAAATTATCATCACCACCATCACCATCACCATAGCAACACAATTTAATGGCCATATATATCTGTCATCTTCACCAAATTATAATTATCCAAAAATAGCATTGCAACGGTTCAATGTGATCACCTACTGACACAGTCTTAAACAAAATGGCTTTTGAAAATGCATTTTTCATCCATTTGCATATGTACCAGCACAAACCTATTTATATGCATTTAAACACGCATCAAATGCAACTTACGTTCCATTCTCATCTAATCGCAGTCCATTGCTCTCCCGTCTTGGAACCACATCGCACGAAAGTGGCCTCACATGCACGCACGTACATCTGTGAAGTCACAACTTTCACGGGGATGCGATGACGATGTGTACACACACAGATATTCTTCCGTACATTGTCACCCCCTTCGCTCTCTCACGGAGACGGGTTGTCCGCTAGCGCTGAACATACAACATAATCAAATACATTTCCCCATGGCGAGGACATTTAACAATGTTTCATATCATAAATCCAATAATCATTGTAATACAAACGTATCTTATAATTCAAATCAATAAATAAATACCTGTTTGTTTTCACTTGCCGTATCAGTCAACAAGTTGCAGCGGATTGATTGGTAATGCATGTAAATGCTGTGCACAAGTGCCGTGCGTCTTCACATTAGTGTGTGTTCACGTCTCTCCTATCCATCGTACGTGTACCACACTATTGCAGTTACCACACTTGTGTGTTGTATTACGGGGATGGCGCCATGCGAGATTGCGGAGTAGAGTCACTGGGGATGCGATAGGAGGAACTCTGATCTTTTGCGATTAAATACGAACCAACGAACAGGTGCTAGCTAAGTGGTCACTTTCTATAATTCAAGAAGAGATATATCTATATTCATGTGACCATTATAGAAAATAAAATGTGATAATCTTCCATTTTTATTTTTTATCAAATTGAAACAGATTTGTAGAGTCCACTTAATTTAAACAAGCAATATTCATTCATGTCCATATATATGTCGTAAATTGTAAATTATTTATTACCTGGTTTTGTCTCTCCGATCTCTCATTCTGCTTTCAGCAGTAGGCCTTTTGTTAGTCTTCCTCCTCCCTGTGCTCTAGCCTCCCACAAACAGATTAGCTCTATAATAGTCTTATTTTTTCCCCCGATGTGCCCGATGTATTTATTCCTGATTGTTTTCTTCTCCAAAACTGGTCTTTACCTTTAATGTTGTTGTTCCTATAGTTCCCTTATCCTGCAGATGTTGCTTTTGATTTCAAGTCATTCTTGTCCATAAGTTCCACCTCTTGGTCTCTCTCTCTCTCTGCACTCTCTGTCCGATCCTTTATTAAAATCACCATAACTCTCCTCACAGATGGAAATGTTAACTTGTATTCATGATCGACTTAGACAGTGTGAAATTATGATGCAAGCAAAGGATGACACAGGCTATCTCTATGCTACACCCACAGTATTATGGCTATACCCCCTTTTTCTTTTTCTTTTTTTTTCTCTCTCTCTCTCTCTCTCTTCTCTTTTCCTCTCTTTCTTTCACTTTCTATATACAGAGAGAGAGACATAGAGAAAGAATATATATAATCAAGTATAATTAAGTATATTCTATATATAATATATATATAGAGAGAGAGAGAGAGAGACAGGCGCGCCGGAAGCAGTTTGGGCTTGGGGGGGGGGGGGCATTCCAGGGGGCTCACCTTCCAGGGGCACTATGGCGTAATGAGCACATACCTTTTGAAGGGGGGGGGAGGGCAGAATAAAAACTCAAGGGTTTTAGGTATTTACTTACGGTCAGATGAGCACCCAAAGGACCGCCTAAGGCCCTTGGTGGGGTCCGGGTGGAGCCCCCGTAAGCTCAGGGGTTTTAGACATTTACTTACGGTCATATGAGCATATTTTGATACCTCATTTGTGACATTGGCAGGTCACTATTTTCTTTCTTTCTTTTTCTCTGTAACAAACTTTTCAAAAAGTGAGGGGGGGGGGGGGGCTCGACACCCCGAGCCCAGCCGCTCTGCAGGCCCTGACATGAAGGCTTCTAAATAAACCTTTTTCTTAATGCCCGACTGTAAATTTCGGAATTTCTAATTTGCCAACAAACGCATCAAAAGGTATGACTTACACAAAAATTGAGAAAAAATATCGGAAAATCAGGTAATTTCGGCAACTTTTGTAAATCACTGGTATCGAATTAGAACTAACCCCCTCCCCCCCCCATCAATACGCCAGCGTTAAGGGGCTCATGTCCTCTCAACCTTATAATAAAATTTGAAAACACGATTGCCCATCCTCTCACAATATTTCAACGATATGCGCGTATCGCTATCAGTTTTTATAAAAAGAACTCCAATCAATTTCAAATTTATTCCAACAAAACATTACAATTCAAATATATGCATTTAAAAAAAAATGTAAGAAATATTTTTTTTTTTTTGAGGGGGGGGGGCAAAATACATTTTCCCCCCCCCCCCCCCCCCTCAACAAAAAAATGGTATAAACTGTGTTGTTATCCATTATTCTTTGAAAAGAAATGCAATTCCTCATGCTCTCGCAAATCTCTTCTATCGTTGTTTAATTCTCTTTCATTTTTGTTCCTTTCTCCTGGCAAGAGGGATCTCATATTGTGTGTGTCGTAATTCCCAAATGAAAGTTAATTTTGTTTTTGCTTCTCGCTTAGTTTGATGGAAATTAAAAAGACCTCCTCCTGCCCAAGACATCTTTAGTTTCTTGTAAATAGCGATCTTTTCAAAATATTATTCTTAATTACAGCGCGTATATATTCAAGTATGTTTTCATTTTAGAATTATAGTGTGACACAGTTAGGTATCTGTTATATTTCAATTTCTTTCAATATGAAATTATGTGACCCAAATATGTGTACGTAATGGTGATCAGCAGTGGCGTAATGAGCAAAAACAGTAAGGGGGGGCAGACAAAAAAAATCCGCTTCACCGTACTCTTACATGCAGGCCCCGCTGAACGTTTTACAAATTGGGTGGGGGAGGCTAAAGTATTTACGATCATGTAGAGCGTAGCCTAAATTGGTGTGGGGTCTAGGGGCAAAGCGCCTGGGGGGGGGGGGGGGGGGGGTCAAGGGGCGGAGCTCCAGAAGCTCAGGGGGTATGGACATTTAATTACGGTCAGATGAGCATATTTTTTATACCTTATTCATGCCATGGCAGGTAACCAGTTGGCGTGTAGTCCAGGGGGATGAACCCCCTGAAACTCAGGGATTTGAGGTATTTTATATCGATCAGATAAGCATTCAGGGCCCCGCTTTAGGCCCTCTGGTGGGGACGATGGGCGAAGCCCCCAGAAGCTCAGTGGTTTTAGGCATTTAAACACGGTCAGATGAGTTTCAACTTCAAGTCCGCCTCAAGGCCCTAGGTGGGGTTCAGGTAGCAGAGCCCCCGGAAGCTCAGGGGTTTTAGGCATTTAACTACCGTAGTTAAATGCCTAAAACCTCTGGTTAGATAAGCTTATTTCGATACCGTTGTGACACTGGCCGTTCACTAATTGCCTAGGGTTCCAGGGGCTTTGCCCCCGGAAGCTCAAGGAGTTTAGGCTTTAGAATACGGTCAGATGAGTATCCAGGGGCTTCCTCGGGGCCCTGGTTGGGTCCAGGGGGCAAAGCCTCTGGAAGCTTAGGGGTTATAGGGATTTTATCACGGTCAGATCAGCCTATTTTGATACCCCATTATTTTGTGACACTTTCTTCCTTTCCCCTTTCTTTCTATCGTTTTTTTTTTTTTGGGGGGGGGGGGAAGCCCTTATGTAGGCATCTTAAATAAGCATATTTCTAGCCTGACTGTGAATTTAGGACTTTGTCATTTTCCAACAAACGCATACAAAGTATAATTTACCTATATCTCGGAAAATTATGTCATTTCAGCAACATTTGTGAATCACCGGTATCGAATTAAAAATTAACCACGTTTGAATTTTACTTTAGAGGGGGGGGGGGGGGGGGCAACCAGGACGCCAGTGCCCCCCTCCAAAATCTACACCTTTTTGCCGGAAAAAATTATCTGTTAGGTTAGCTGGGGCAGTGGCGGATCTAGAGGTGGGGAGGGGCCCTCCCCTGGGAACAAAATACAGTTAAAAATCGTTATTTTTTTTAATTTTTTTTAGATGGGCCCCCTCCACTGGCACTTAAGGAGGGGGGGGGGGGGGGTGCGATTTTTCAAATTTTCGAGGACCACAAAATAAAAACAAAACAAAATAGCTTTCACCCACCTGAGGGGAGGAATGCAAGGGCCTTTCGGCCCCCGCGATCCGAAACTTGTTAGCGGAATCATTGCAACTGATATCCCCCTTTTTTTCCTTTTTTATTCCTCTTTTTTCCTTCCCTTTATCCACCTTTTCCGTCTTTTCTTTCCCTTTCCTCATTATTTTGGATGAGGGGGGGGGGGGGGAGGGGGAGGAGGACGGAGGGGAGTCTTGCAGGCAAGTTCCTTTCGGGCCCCGATATCCTTCTTTTTTTCCCCTTTTCTTTTCATCTTCCTCTTCTTTCTTTCCCTTTCTGTCCTCTTTCCCTTTCCCTCTCTCTCTCTCTCTTTTCGAGGGGGGGGGGGGCACTACTACTTCTACTACTACGACTATTACTGCCATTACTACTACTACTACTACTACTACTGCTACTTCTACTACTACCATTACTACTACTACTACTACTACTACTACTACTTCTACTAATGATACTACTCGCATACTACTTCTTGTCCTATTACGCCTACGTATATCAGTATTACTGCCATCGATGATAGTTTAATTGTCACAGTTAACAACTAAATTAGTAATACCCTTTGTAAAACTGCTACTACCACTCCTACTACTGTTGCTGCTGCTGCCGCTGATTGCAACACTAACAATCGGATAAGTGTAGAAATAGCAGAGATACAAATGTAAGAGGTAAAACGTCAGTAACAGCAAAGGTAAAACAGAGGAAGTAGTAATAAAGTAGTTGTAGTAGGAGTGGTATGAGTAGTAGTAGTAGTAGAGGTAGTGGCACAAATGGTAGTAGTGGTTATAATGGCAGTAATACACTGCAAAATCGTTGTGTAACGACTTCACACACATCATGGTTCACTCCTCACATAGGGGTTGTGTTAAGTTGTGAAAGGAATTTACACAGCTGCTTTTGTTTTAACACAACTTAACACAATCCCTGTGTAAGGACTAATGAGAGAACCACCCAACTATTGTATAAAGTCATTTCCCAACGAATTTGCAGTGTACTACTACCATTATAACTGCTTTGTTGTTACTGACATTTTACCTCTTACATTTTTATATCTGCTATTTCTACACTGATTCGATTTTTATTCTTCCGAATAAAGTAGTTCTAGTACTAAACTCTAAAACTGAAGTGCTGTTTTTAGCACTTGGAGGACTATACTCAAAACAGAACAAAGGGCCTTCTTCAGGTTGCACCCATCTTTCGACAGCCTTTAGTTTTCGCCTTGTTTTATATTTTGTATGTTACTGTATCATTGTTTAATGAGGGTTTTAAATCCACTCTGAAGTTATTTTTTTCTTCAAAATGTTCAATTTCTTTGGTTATTCTCATATTGTCTATTTATTTGTCCTCTAACCCTCAATCTCTTTCTCACGTTTTCTCTCACTTTTTACCTACATTCTCTACCATTCATCTTTCCTTCTATAACCTGTTTTGTCTTCGCCATACATATCCCA